GGTGCGTTGGGGGGGGGGGGCGCAGGATACAGGGCACAGCCGGGCTGGGCAAAGCACTGCTCCGGCCATCCCCAGCCAGCTGGTGCCAGCCTGGCCAAGGGGTTGCGGGCAGTCTCCTTGGGAAGAGCAGACATCGTGGGCTGGGTGCTGCCATAGGCTGGCTCCCAGTGGGGGATATGCCCTCTGCTCCCAGCAGCCACAGGGATGGGCACTGGGATACACCCACCTCCCCATGGGCAGGGGCTGGGCAGCAGCAGTAGGACAACAGGCTGGACCGTGCGGGGGCCCAGGGACATGGCAGGCTGTCCTCAGCCAGCTGGGCAGGGCCAAGATGGAGCTGTTGGGGGCTGGGGCCCTTGTCCTCACCCCTGCCAGCCAAAGCAGTGGCAGCCCAGTGCCCCCAGCTTGGATGAACAGAGGTGGACCTGGCCCCATGGCCAGATTCTGAAAAGGGGGGTGCAAGCAGTGAGGGGCGTCATCACATGTGAAACAACACGTTTATCTCCAGCTAGAAAGAAACCAGAAGCTCTCCTATGACACCAGGGGTCTGGGCCTGGGGAGTCTCACTTCAGATAGAAGGCAGAACAGATATAATGACATGGGAACGGGTTAAAAACAACCTGCTGGGCTGTGAAATAAGACCATCATGACCAGGAGCAGCCAGCAGAAAGGCAGAGAGGCGAGCTTGATTGATGGAACTTTGAAACTTAAAAAGAAAGGGATGGGGGGGTGTCATTAACACCTGCCTGATGAAGAGATTGGCAGGAATGGGGAGGTAATAATGAGCTGTGAAATCAATCGACTACCCTCTGCTGCCTGAATTGAAATGCTGCTGCTACCGCCAGGCTGTTGGGTTTAAGTTGCGGGTAAGGCTGGAGGGGCCCTAGGAGGGCACATTTCCTGCCCCCAAAGCAGCGGGGGCTGAGCCTGAGGTGGGGGGGGCAAGAGCTTCTAGCCAGGACCCTGTGGGGCTGAGTCCCAGCAGAAGCACAGCTCCAGCCTGGGCTGCAGCCCCTCGATCCACCCCTGGGGACCTCAGGGTGGGGCCTGCATCCCCATTCCCCGCTGACCCCCTTATCGCCGTCATGCAGGCTTGAAGCCGTACGGCTGCGAGGAGTGCGAGTACCGGACGAACCGGGCGGATGCGCTGCGGGTGCACCGGGACACGCGTCACCGGGAGGCACGGGCTCATATGTGTGAGCAGTGTGGCAAGGCCTTCAAGACGCGGTTTCTACTGCGCACGCACCTGAGAGCCCACAGCGAGGCTCGGCCCTACGTGTGTGGTGTGTGCCGGCGCGCCTTCCGCTGGGCTGCCGGCCTGCGCCACCACTTTCTCACCCACACTGACCTGCGCCCCTTCTTCTGCCGCTTCTGTGCCTACCGCGCCAAGCAGAAGTTCCAGGTGGTCAAGCACGTCCGACGCCACCACCCTGACCGCGCCAGCGCCGCTGACCCTGCCCAGGGTGTGGGCAAGGACCCAGGTGCCCCCACCCTACACCTGCACGATGTCCAGCTGCATGGCCGGCCCCAGGACAATGGCGGAGGGGCCCCGGCTGAGCCCCAGGGGTAGCCTCCACCCTGCATCAAGTGCACGTGCATGTACAGGCCGCTGTGTATATGGGATGTAACATAAATGGGAGCTGTGCTCATTTCTAACCTGGCTCTGGGGGTCACCAGGGGGAGGGGTACCCCAGCCACCTCTGGTCATGGAGGTGGGGGGCAACTAGTCTTCCAGGCAGGCACTGAACCCACCTGAGCCTGCTTGGCTGAGTAGAGCTTCCAGGCAGCCAGGCCCCAGGGCAGGGTGGCAAGCCAGTGCAATGCTAGATGCCCAGGAGACCCCAGATGCTAGATGCCAGGAGATGCCCAGTGCCTGCCCCCGCCCACACACACCATCCCCAGACCCATTGCCTAGTGCCTCCCCTTGTACCAG